CTCAGTCTAGTGTAAAGTTAATGGACCTTTATTTTGAAGCTTCACTCAGTCTAGTGTAAAGTTAATGGACCTTTATTTTGAAGCTTCACTCTGTCAAGTGTAAAGTTAATGGACCTTTATTTTGAAGCTTCACTCAGTCTAGTGTAAAGTTAATGGGCCTTTATTTTGAAGCTTCACTCTCAGTCTAGTGTGAAGTTAATGGACCTTTATTTTGAAGCTTCACTCAGTCTAGTGTAAAGTTAATGGGCCTTTATTTTGAAGCTTCACTCTCAGTCTAGTGTAAAGTTAATGGACCTTTATTTTGAAGCTTCACTCTCAGTCTAGTGTAAAGTTAATGGACCTTTATTTTGAAGCTTCACTCTCAGTCTAGTGTAAAGTTAATGGACCTTTATTTTGAAGCTTCGCTCTCAGTCAAAGCATCGTGATGATGAATGTTGTCCTGACTGCTCCTCTTCCTCGTTACAGTCTTCGTCACGCTCACCTGTGCGTTCAGGTACGGCCGCGAGGACCTGGACGTCCTGGGTCTGTCCTTCAGGAAGGATCTCTACATCTCCACCTTCCAGGTGAGCCCTGAACAGAACCTCCTCCTCCCTGCTGATTACCCCGAGTCGTCCCTGAAGGTAAAGTTCTGACCCGGTTCCTCTCTCAGGCCTTCCCTCCGGTTCCTGAGGAGAAGAAAGCCAACAGCCGACTGCAGGAGCGGTTGCTGAAGAAGCTTGGCCAACATGCACATCCCTTCTACTTCACAGTGAGTCCAGGTCCCCGGCACCAGAACCAGGTCAGAGGACTTCGTTCTGGTTCTGGTTAGAATCTACAGGTTTACATTCAACATAAACTTCAAAGTACCTGGTAGGAGCAGCTGTGGCTGAGTGGAGGGAGCAGTCGTCCTCCAATTCAAGAGTTGGGGGTTCGATTCCACCAGCAGTCGCATGTTGAAGTGTCCCTGAGCAAGACACTGAACCCCTCATGGTCTGACGTGCGTGCGTGCGTGCGTGCGTGCGTGGAGGTGAACGAGGCACAGATTGTTGTAAACGGCTTTGAGTGTCTTATCAGACAGAACTGAGCGGTACCAGTAGAGTCCATTTACCTGACTCGATCAGAACTTCCTTTAAATCTTCATTCAGACATCACTTCCTGTTTACTTCCTGGTTGGTTCCTCTTCAGAACCTCTGGGTCCACATGAGTCTGGGTCCTGCAGAATGATCCATGAGCAGAAATAAAGAAGAGAAAACCTCCTCAGAGGTCCGGTTCTGTTCAGAGAACTCAAGAAGTCCACAACTAGAATGAGGATCTGGACCGTCCTGGATCTGGACCGTCCTGGATCTGGTCCGTCCTGGATCTGGTCCTTTGATACCTTTTTTCTAAGTTTGTGACACAAATCAGAACCAGAATCTGTCCAAGTCAGGACCAATCGGGTTCTGTCTGAACCAGAACCATCTAGAGGTTCTGCTGCCCCCTGCTGGACCCGGAACAGTTCCAACTAAAGATCCTGAACGGAACAAGGTCTTTCATGCCACCTTAATTTCTAGAGGTTAGTCCCACTGAGCCTGGAGGACTCGTTTACACAGAGACCTGATGTAGAGCGAGTGAAGGCGACAGAAGAACGCACCGACGAGAACGCACCGAGAAGAACGCACCGACGAG